AGCCTGAAGATGGCTTTGGTACAACCTACCACAGAATAGTACCAAGCCCTGGCTCCTTCATATAAATTGACCACAATTGAGAGTTGAGGAAGAGGGTTCCCGACGTACAACTGATCATACCCAAATTGACGAGCGAACCTATAGGGTTGGTAGGGCTCGATGAAATAGTTGATGCCTTGCCAGAAGATCAGGTAGCCTGGCCTGATGGAGAGAAGCCAGTGGAAAACACCCCCGCTCAGCTGAGTGAATCCGTTAGGACCCGCTACGTCCTGATATTCGGCTCCGTAAACCCGCCCTCAAAATCAGGGAAACAGCGGAAGATATGGAAGTGGGTGTCTCGCGCCAAAATTTGGCGAATTCTAACCATATACCCCCCTTCCCATTTCGCAGATTCTAGTCGTTGTACGAAGGGGATGAATGAATCTTCCGGGGGAGAGGCTGCACTCATTAAAGGAGGACAGTGGAGCACGTACCAAGCCATCAGATTGGTGTATGGCAGTGGCACCCTGGGGTTGGGAGTTTTGAAAGTTTTGTGACCCCCAGACTCCACCTCTGTAATATCAACGAAGTCCGAGGTCAATTCCCGCAGTCCATACTGCAAACAACTCACCATGGCATGAAGGAGGCTCACAGGTTTCCCATGGGCCAAAAGGACAGCCGGGTAGATCACCTCAACAGCGAGGGCGTCGACCAGCCTAGTAGGAACGACGCAACGCTTGAGCCACAGCATCAAGAACCCAGCCAACAACGCTGTGTCGGAAATTGGAAACAGAGCTTGATAATGAAAGCTTTCAAACTCTGTATGAGCCGGGAAAACATCTTCCTTGGCCTCATTTGTGTAGTGGGAGGTAGCATTGTCGATTCGGGCTTGAACTTCCTCCAAAGTGCTTGCAGATAGTCTGGTCACTGAGCCTCCTTTATTGGTCAAATTCTGGAATAAATATTCCGCCCAAGATACTTGCTTAATGCCGCTTCCTCGAGCCCCCGTCAACTGCATGCAAATGTGGAAGTGACATATGACTTCCCAAAGAGTGGAATAAATTTCGGGGTTGGTCTTCTTTAAAATTTTAAGTTTCGCTGATCCCGGAACAAACTCTTCGTACGGCAAATCCCCAAGAAGAAGACCCGAGACTTCATGCATCTCGTGAAGAGCGAAACCTAACTCCCCCACAGGGGTGAAGAAAGTACAGGTCTCGGGATTATACTTCTCCAATATGGAGAAGAAATGAAAGTGGCTCTGGACAATCCCGAACTTGGTAGCCCGTACAGGAATCTGCAAGCCAGCTCGAGTAAGAGGTACTTCCAATTCATCCAAAACGAACTTGGTCATCCGGGTCCACCACCCTGTCACCGGAGAATGAACCCAGCCAGGAGTTCTAAACCCTTGCGCGGGAAATTCTCCTTTCTTTGCCAAAAACTTCTTGACAAAGGTATTTGCCGGACTGGGCACTTCGCCAAGGGGATATTCCTTAGCAAATAAACCTGGCCGTAAAGCTGTCACCTGCCTGTTGTAGCCGAGTGTGCGGACCCCGTGAAAAGTCAGAGTTCCGAGAATAACCCCATCCTGATCCTTAACCAGGGGCCAATCCATACGCCGTGGGATGGAAGCACACTGGAAATAAGATATGGGGAAAATCCTCTCCATATTAGGCAAGAAAAGGTTGCGGTCCCCAACTTTCCGTAGCCATTTGTAGTCCCCGTCATAAGCAACATCCGCCTCGAAGTCAACAAAATCCCCGAAGAGGAATCCAGGTTTGACTATTGGCTTACGGCTCGAGTTTTTAAGTCGGGCGTCCGTAACCAATATCCTAAGAGTTTCAGGAGAAGCTTGGGTGATCAGTTCCACGCGACTCTTTTCCCTCATTCGGAAAACGGGGAGTTCTTGGCGCAGGTTAAATGTCATGTTCATGTCCACACCACCTACGTGCCCAAAATGGTGGCAAAAAGGAAGAGGTTGACTGGTATGATGCACTGCAAAATAAAGAAAAAAAATTTAGACAAGGCAAATACAAAGCCTAGACGCGAAGGTCGACTCCCGCGTCAGATAAGCTAGGACGCGAAGGTCGAACCTAGCGTCAGAAATCTCAGACGCGAAGGTCGAACCTCGCGTCAGAAAGTTCAGACGCGTAGGTTGACCCTCGCGTTAAGAGTCTGAGACACGGAGGTCGAACCCCTCGTCAAAAAGACTAAACGACGGAGTCCAACCCCGCGTTATTGAAACGAGTCTCCTCGTTAATCTAAAGATCAGAACTTGCCAAAACAAGTTTGATGACCACGGAGGTCGTACTCACCGCCAATCAAGGGAAGTTGAGGCGACACGTTCGCCTGAGATGCAGCGCCGCCAGCCGGCGCAGAAGGCGCCGACCCCTGAGCCGCGGCGACATCATGCTTAGAAGGACGAGAGTCAACCTGGTTGAAATTCCAAAACGCTGAGCTCACCCACGCGTTCCAATTCTTAAATGCAGAAGTTATTTGGACAGCTATAATAGCAACTTCTTGACTACCAAGGCTATCACGATCATCAAGGCGACCAAAGCCGGGGAGAAACAGGTGACTCCGTTGGGGAGTCTATTGGAGAAGCACAGATAGATTACAATCAACCACATTAGAATCATCTGGCCCGATCAGACGGAGTGAGCAATCAATTCACTAAATTTTGGGATCCAAAGTATTCTGAAAATTCGTCCCAGTCAACCGCGAACTTTCGAAAACTTTGGAGGGGGTTCTGTAGGCTGTCAAAAAATCACAATGGATAGCTGATTCCCATTAAGCCCCGACAATAGGAGTTACAATCAGACGACTTCTTAATCACTATATCTACAACTCTGCAACCGCTACAAACACGGCCTCATTGCTGAGATGATTGATCTTGATGGCTGCGACGATAACATGACTAATATTATATTAGCAACTATTAGAGATGTTGATGAGCAGTGTAATAATTTTAGAAATAAAAGGTTGGACTTAGTTGGTGAGTTGCTTGGTAGAGAGCTGTGGGCAAATATTCGTCTAGAAGTCACTATGGATGATTGATTCCCGTCAAGTTCCAACAATGGAAACTACAATCAAATAGTTTTCGCGCCGACAAACGAAAGCTGCAAATGGAGGAGTTTTCATATAGATCGAGAAGAGTTACAATTCAACGACGCTTCCGACAGCTGATGAAAACTTTATTCAGCAGTCTCCACAATCTACAGTGAAGGTTACAAACTGACGACTTTCACATTCCACAATAGCTAAAGCTAGGATTACTGAACGACGGTCTTTGCAACGCTCTATAGAAGAGGTTACAATCAACTAACCCCTTCTAAAACGCGGAAGTCATCCCCGCGTCACAATTTTAGAAATGCAGGCGACCCCCGTGTTTCCAAACTATAACAAGCTAAACGCGAGCGACCCTCACGTTCGGGAGGTTCAGCCAACACCGACCCCGGCGTTTCCAAGCTATAACAAACCAAACGCGAGCGACCCTCGCGTTTATTGGTGTTCAGCCAACACCCAACCTCGCGTCTCAATTTTAAGAGGCGACGTTGGGTTCTGAACGCCAGATTGGGCGTTTGACTTGTTCAAATACGAGTCGAACGGTTTCAAAACTGTTTTCCCACGATCTGAGGAAAGCACGCCCACTTAGGAGCGGATTTAGATGGCAGTTACAACCTCTTATCCACCTATAAAAACTCAACAAACTCAACTGAGTGAAAGGGCTGGCTTTTTGGAACGGAAGAGTTAGCAGCAGAGGCGAATTCTTGGGAGATAGAAGATTTGAATCATATCTAAAAAGATCAAATCTAAGAGGATCCTTCAACAACAGAATATTTTCTTGGTCATTAACCGAATTTTTTGTTCTAACAACTCTATTCACAGAGTTCTAACTCGTTCATAGTTCTTAAACTCATACAAGAGTTACTCATAAAACTTGCCACAGAAGTTCATCGTTCCCACGAGATAAAAGACGGTCGGATCGTCAACGGAGAGCAAATTCGATGCGAGCAATCGAAGGAGGCACTCCATCGCTACCTTGAAGAACCCAGTTTTAAACAAAGGGGAAAACCAAATTCGTTTTCCTCTCTTTTGTAATCAGATTGTAATCGGAATCAAAGAAATACAAGTCAATTTTCTTTTGTTCTTTTCATTGCAATTTTTCCAACTTACAAAGAGCAAAGCAAGCTTTAGTGGGATGAAGGATCCTCCTGTGGTACGCACAATACTTTAGATCTGAAGTATTATCAGCTTCCTCCTGATCTGCGATAGATGACAGCTTGATCTTGTTGTTTTCAAGGAGGGACTCAAAAATGGCTGGAACGTCTTCGTCCTTAAAGGAGTACTCTTTTTGGAGTCTCGGATCCGAAGTCTTTTGGGGTATTCAGGGTTGCTGTTATGATGTCTGATTAACATCAACAGCTACTGCAGGTGTCTTCCCCTTATCACGGGAGGCGAAGCTCAAATTTGTAAAGTTAACTGTTAGTTGGCTTCTCTCTGCTTTCTTCCTTCTGAGGAAGCGTTCGGCCTGCTCTCCGCGCACCTTCAACTCTTTCCAAGTCATGGATGGTGCAACTCCTATAACTTCAAAGATATCAATGGACAGGTTGTTATGATAGGTTTGGAGGATGAAATCCTCTATGACCGGATCTCAGCAACTCATCGCCTTATTCCGGAAGTGCTTGACAAAGTCGTCGACCATCTCTTTGTCTTCCTGTTTCTCCTCAAAGAGCGTCCTGATTGATACATCGGTGTCATCATCAAAGAAATTACCGAGGAATAAGCTTTCCATGTCATCCCAGCTGTTGACGCTGCCAGGCTTGAGACCACGGTACCAATCGAAGTTAGGCCCACGAAGGGTGCTAACGAATGACCGAACCATCAAGGCTTTATTGCTAGAGATCATGCTCAAGTGGGACTTGAAGTAGATCAAATGTTGAGTGGGCGAGCCCTTCCCATCGAATGGCGTGAAGTTGATCAGGTTGAACTTCGCTGGATACAGGATCGATTCCCACTCTCTTGGATAGGGACATGGAATGCCGGTCCTTTTCACCTCTCGAGCAGACATCAGAGCGTTGATTTTGCTCTCGAGGTCTTTCATCTTCTCATCCTCGTCTGTATCATACTTTGGACTATTTCTGAAATGAACAACACGGCCACCCCCGGCATTGTTATCTTCGGTGGGACCACCCCCAGCGTTGTTGTTTTCAGTGGGGCCACCCCCAGTGTTTTGGTCAACGGGAGGGTTATCGGCTTTGAGGTGTTCATCCATATCTGAATCGCTACCTGCTTGGTTAGCAATGTTACGACGACTAGATTCACCAAATTGATTGGGCAGAGCTCGAATCTGTTGGTCATGCTTTTCCTTCATCCGTTGCATAGTCATTTCCATTTTAATCTTGAATGCCTCTTCCTGCTTGGCTAGAGCATCCTCGAGAATTTTGGCCATTTGCTCAGTGTTGATCATGAATGCCTCGCGGGATTGTCCTAGGTTGGATACTGTATTGTCAGAAGCGACTATTTAGGTCCGACAGCTTCTAGCTGAAGTCGAGACATTAGTTGGGCTATTCCTGAATTGACTCATCTTCCTGGAGAAAAGTCGGGGCTAGAACCACCTGAAATAATCGGAGACTTTCCCTTTTTGACCATGTTGATGGTAACTTCTGGGAGTTCGTCATCTCGAAAGACCGATCTTTTTTTGTGAAAACGCCTTGATTTGGGTTTTGACGCTTCAGAGGAAAGCCTTTGGAATAACGAGACCCTCTGTTGGGGCAGCTACATGCTGATAATACTACCCTGATAATTTTGGTACACGAACAATGATAGTCCGCTTCCCTAGTACTTCTCTTTCGAGATTTATTTGTACCCCCAGCCCGATAGTACAACTCATTGGCATGATCGCCGGAGCAACCTATCATGTGCTGACATAACTACCCAGGTATAACGTTATCATTGTCAGACGAATACGTTTCCTTCTATGGATATAATGTTTTGTTAGCGTCTTCAAGATGTTGGCCTTCTTGTTTTAATGGATATAATGTTGGTCTTCAAGATGATGTCAGACGAATACAATTTATAACTAATGTTGTTTGTCTAATGTTTGTTTTTTCGTATTTATTCTAGGCAAACAATATGTTGGAGGATGGATGAAATTGCGCCATAACGATCATATCAAATGGAGGTTGGCGGAATTGTGGAGTGAAGCCTATGCAATTCAAATTGAAGATCCAAGTTCTAGCTTCATCCACAAGTGTACCAAGTTGAGCTACATCGAAGATCAATCAAGATTGGGTATATTTAGTTTAGGTTTTATATTAGAGCTACATCGAAGATCAATCAAGATTGGGTATA